TGTAATTTGGGATGGAGAGGAGATGGGGCAGGAATAGTAACATTGTTTTCTTGCTTTTGCCTTTCCAAGTATCCTAAATCATCCCTTCCCGTGGGAAATCATCTTCTAACCGACTAAAGAAGCAGCTGTGTTCTACTGGTGTCCAGTTTTCACAGCATAGACAAGAGAGAATACTAACAGCAGTACTGAAATAATGTTAACCAGTCACTAAGACCAGACCTGATCACACAAGCTACTGGGCACTGCCAACTAGCACTGTTTTTGAATTATACTTTGAACACTTTGAAATCAATGGAAATTGAAGGTGCTCAGAACCTTAAAGGTTCTGGCTCAAAGAGATACAAGATTTATGCCAAATTCTTGTAGCCTCTGAAGTAGCAGAGTATGTTATCACTCTACTCTGTGCTCATGGCTAACATTGTACTTTAAGCAAAAACTATTGTACCCTTTTTTAAGCAGACAGACCTTTCACCCTCATGTTCATACAGCATTCAATTTCTTCTGGATTACTCTACTAAGATGTAACATCTTTATATACATCATAAGGGGATTAGCATTTCAACAGCAACGAGCAGATATGAACAAAGCACATACCAAAATAAATGTAACTTCAAAAAAAAAAAGAAGTAAAAAAATGGATTTGCTGAGAAAAGGTCAGCTAAAAAAACAGATGACTTTCTTGCTAGTGTATCTGAATCTATATAGATTTTTCAGTTTAAGATTTAAAAAAAAAAAAAAAGAGAAAGTACCAGGTCATTAGAAGCAGTCAGACCACTATCAGTGCTGCAATGATGTAGTTTCAAATTAGATTGAAATAGCTTTTTAAAGTGAGTCCACTTAAAGAACAAATAATTTCCACTCCCTTTCTCCCAGGATTGAATTGAAAGCATTTTTGTTACAGTAATACAATATTTCTGATCAATTTCTGTACTTGGATCTGAGGTTTTATAATTATTTGGTTAATGATCACAGCAAGCCCATTTAAGGTACCCTAAATGCTTTCCAACAAACATACTTAGTTATGATCTAGTGCACAATTAATGCGTTAGACCACATTTAAGAACACACACCTCATCCTTAGCTATACCAGTGTTTAAAGCATTGTATATTGTGGAGGATATTGATGAAATGTTAATTAGCCTTCTAGTTATTTTCTTGATTTGTTACCTAGACTCTCAATCATTCCTCATCCATCAGATAATTTTGATATGCAAGCAGAAACTAATGCTAAGCAATTAAGACACTAATCTCTCACAGTCTTTACTGCATGAATGTTACAAACACACCAAGCATTTTACATTTCAAGCACCATCTCATTTATCTTATTTCCTTAGTTAAGCTTTGCTACTGATTTTGCAGGTATAATGGACAATCAAATATTCAGTCAACACACTATTACTGTTGCCTTGAGTAGGGACACCATGTTAGACTACCCATAGTTCAAATCCTGCAAACCATCATTCACTTGAACAGACCAATGACTCATATAATTACTCACACAAGTAAAAACAACTAAGTTTTTATATTGGGGATTACAAGAACCAAGATAAAGCCAAAAAACCAGAGGGGCATAACAGCCCATATCTAACGCAGCTAGACATAGGCCCCAGGTACACATTGCTTTTGTAGAGCTACAAAGTTTGTAGATTTACAAAAAATGGGTCATTATGGGGCATGCACTCGTACACATTCACCTGACTGGAGAGTGAAACAAAGGTTTCCTCTCGAACCAGAAGCAATGGGGTGATGCTCTTTAGCTCATCCTGTCCCAAAAGAGAGGGACAGGCTCACTAACAAGCATGTCCAATCAGCTGTGATGGAGCTGCCTAGAAGCCACCCATAGCGGTGAGGGCTGATAGGGCAGTCTCCTCCACTGGGAATTTTAAAGCACCAGAAATTTTAAAGAGTAATGCCACTAGACAGCAAAGGCAATGGGGCTGCCTGCAAGTCACCTGCAGCAGCAGGGGCCTCTCAGGCAGTCTCTGCTACCTGATCAGCCCCTGCCACAGCTGCAGCCATGTCACCCTTGCCACCCAGAAGCAGTGGCTGGCAGGGCTGCCTGGGAGCCAGCTGCTGCAGGGCTCCCTGACAGCTTGCTAGCTGGTCTGGCTATGAAGGAGCCAACTGCTCTTCCTCCCTCCCTCCCCCTTTAAAGGGCAATGTGAGCATGGAGGACTGCTAGATACGAGGGATCAGAAAGAGCTGTACACTTGTTAAATTTGTGGTAAGAAAGCTTTCTGCAACAAAGCTGCTGCTCTTTAAAATAGGTTTTCTGTGTCAGGTTAGCCAGTTTTTTAATCTGACAAACAGCACAATATGTAGGCACCCATTTTTTGTCATGCTAAAACAGCATATAACATGTCAAGTGCCATGTCTGTTAGTCCCTTGCTAATAAAAATAATGGGTTGTTGTTTTGCTTTTTATATTGCTTATAAAAAGCAATATAAATTTGTAAAAATATATTGGCAATGAACCATCCAACCTCAACATGGACAAGGCCTAAAGCACTTTATCTTTCTCTAAACCATTAGAGTGGTGCAGACCTGTCCATGACCTCTGCGTTTCTCCCCACTGTCCTCTGCTTGTCTCATGAAACAGACTAAAGTTTGTTGTGAGATAACTCCTTGCCCCTTAAAGCCCAAGCTCCCTATACTGGACCCCACAGCTGCAACTGGGGAATGTCTGCCTGCTCCAGGTAGTTTCCCTTTGCATTCTGAAATAATTCTAGGTCTCTGACTGCCCCCATAGAAAGATCTAGTCTGGATCTAGTCTCACTTGACCTGAGCTCAAACTTTACCACCAGCAATCAGTGAAGTAACAAAGAATTTATTGCATGGAAAAGAATTGAAAAATTGTACACGAAAAGTTGCCCACATAGCCTGAAGACTGAACAAAAAGACAAATCAAGTTTCTCAACCTTTCATCCAGCTACAACCTAGTCCTTTCAAGAGTCCTGCCAATATTTCCAGAGATCAGCCTTCCTCTGACCCTGCCAGCCCTGACTCCTGGGGCTGTGGACTCAGCCCAAGGCCTGAAATAATCCAAAGACAATAACTATCTCATAGACAGGTCTAAAAGACTTCCAAGCGATCCCTACCACTAGTCTTGTTCAATTTATTGAGAAGTCTCTGAATTCTCCAGAAAACTCTTTCATTTCTGGAGTACATGGTATTCCCTTAGCTAATGGTCTATTTCTCTGCAATGCTTTCAGTATGTGATTTTTCCTTTACAGGAAGCCATAAATTGGGTTCCCACCCCAACAATCGCCCCTTCTGCCTGTCTTTTGGAGTGGCAATTATTCTTGCCCTGGTAGCACAATGGGCCAGTGATCCTTATAAGTTTCACCATCTTTCTGGTCCTTTGACATACAAACAGCTAGGGATGCACTGATAAAGATTTTCTTGGTTGATACTGATAGCCAATTATTTACCAGGTATATTGGCCAATACCAAAGCAATAACCGGGCACAGCCAGGCAGTGTGGAGAGCTGCTCCCTGCAGGTAACTCTGTGGAGGGGAAAGGGCACTGGGGAGAGGAGTGGGGGGTGGGGGAAGATTGAGGCTCCCAGAGTGAGGGAGGGAGTGGGGCAGGAGCTGGGGCTGGGGGTGCTGCCCAGCCAGGGCAGTGAATAGGACCCCGGGGCCAGGGAGGGGAGCAGGACAGAGCTGCAGGCAGCTCCTCCAGGGGATCAGCATCCCAGCATTTAAAAATGGTAGTGGGGGTGCTTGAACTAAAACTCATCAAATAAACTTTAGTTCAAGTTCCGCCGCCACTATTTTTAACTGCTGGGATGCCTTTTAGGAGTGAAGCTGAGTGGGGCAAGAGTAGAGGCAGGCTGCCTTCTGCTCGCTGTGGATTCAGGGCTCTCCACCCTGCTGTCTTTGCCTCGGAAGCTGCGTGCCAGCCATGTGTCCCCTGCCCACCCAGCAGCAGGAGGCACAACTTGCCACTGCTGCCAGACGGGCAGGGGGTGTGGCTGGCACATGGCTCCCAGGGGAAAGGAAGCAGGGTGGAGAGCCCTAAGCCCACAGTGGGCAGCCCACCTCCACCCCACACACAAATCTGGAGTGCATGCCTCCCCCACGGGGTGTGTGCAGAGCTGGGGAACCGCCCTCCCCCATCTCCTTGCTCCCCCTGGATGAGCCACCTGTAGCTCTGTCCCACTCCTTGTCCCAGCCCCAGCCTCAGCCCCAGGTCTCATTCACTGCCCTGGCTGGGAAGCACCCCCAGTCCCTGCCCCCATCCCACTCACTTCCTCACTGTGGGGGCCTCAATCTGCCCCCCTCAATACCCCTTTTCCTCCACAGACTTACCTGCAGGGCACTGCTCTCCACACTGCCCGGCTACACTCCTGGCCATGTGCATGCTGCAGCTACATGCATGCACGTGGCATCCAGGGACCCGGCCACAAGGCATATTGTATTTATTGGTGACATTATCAGCTACACTGGCCAAATAAAGCCAATAACATTAATTTTCCTTTTATCAGTGCCAATCTGATATGGCACTGATATATGGGTGCACCTCTACAAACAATTATTTATTAGAGACCTGGCTGTAATCTTTGACTAAACTGGGTCCCAAAATTGTAAAAATACATATAGATAGTGCAACATAATATCTACAGTGAAAAAAATGACATAAATGAATACACCTTATTATCAGCTTTCAAAAGAGACCAAACACAAAGTCAATAAAACAAATTATGGACAGATGTTTCTGTGGGAGACACTCCAAACCCCAAAATCATTCTCACCTTTGGGGTGGACTCATGACAGAAAGAAAGACAACTGAATGACTAAACTAAACACCCTAGTTTTCACTCAGAAAAAAGTTCCATCTAAGTCAGAGGGAAATTTGCCTGAAAAGAAAAATAAGAGCTACAAGATTCAGTCTATATTTACTACAGATTGTAAATGTTCTTTTTCTCCTTCTTTAGTTACACCTTCAAAACTGTTGGACATTAAAATGAAAAACAACAAAAAAGTTCTGTTGCTTACCATTTGCCTCCTGTTCTCCACCAGATGGATGCCAATAATCCCTAGGAAAGATCCAAAGCCAAGCTAAGGCAAAAGAACAAACCAACAGAAATACACCAGGTCAGCTAATTTATCAAATATGAGTGTGTTAAAATGATGTGTAAGGTGATACGTTTGACAGATATACCAATTAAAACAATCTCTGAGAAAGAAAGGAATACTACTGGCCAGAAATTGTGTGATGCAATAGAGAACAAGAAGCCATTTAATCATATTTTTAAGTTTTATATTTTACTGTTCATGAGACAATCTTACCATCTTCATTCAATGTAAATTTTCCATTGAAGTCAATGTGGGGTTTGGGCCAAGAAAATATAAACACCTTCGGGGTTCTATAGTCTGGCTACCATTATTATACTTACTAATGTATTGCTATTTTAATCCAATAATAAATTATATGGGCAAACACGGTATTTCACATTTGCTTTCCACGACTGTTCAGTCCGTATCATATCAGCACCGATAAAGGGAAAATTGACGTTATCGGCAATTAGCTTTTTTGGGCTGATAATGTCACAGATAAATGCTGTGTGCATCTGCACAGCTGCAGCATGCATGCAGTCAGGAATGCAGTCCAGCAGCTTGGAGAGAAGTGTCCTGCTGACAAGTCTGTGGGCAGGAAGGGGTGGAGTGGGGCCAGATTGAGGGCCCCCCCGGTGAGGGAGGGAGTGGGACTCGGGCTGGGAGAGGGGCAAGGGCAGGCACTGCACAGATAGGCTGGGGCAGGGCATGTGATGGGACCTTGGCTCATCCCAGGGACACAGAAGGGGCCACTCTTGCCACTGAATGCACCCCAAGGGAGGCATAGGGGGGCATTTGTGCACAGGACGAGGGGGGGCTGCCCGCTGCGCTCTCAGGGATGGGGCTGTGCTGGGTTCTTCCTGGTGGGAGATGGGCCTGGGCTGCACTCAAGGCGGGCAGGGGCAGGGGGTGATGGCACTGGGAGGGCAGGGCTACAGGGTGGGCCACAGCCATCCCAAAATTTGCTGTAGCCACCCCATAGCCCCCCTCCCAGTGCCACCACCATCCATCCCTCTCCTGCCTGCCTCAAGCACAGCCTCAGTCCAGCCCACCCACTGGGAAAGCCCGGTGCAGCCCTGGCCCCGAGCGCATAGTGGGCAGCCTGCCCTTGTCCCATGCACAGGTCCAGGGGGCACGTGCCCCTATGCCTCCCCCAGGGTGCACACAGTGGTGGGATCCAACCCCACACCCCTTCCCCACCTCCCTGTGCCCTCCCAACAAGCTGCAGCTCCACTCTGCGCCCCACCCTGGCTTGGGTATACAGTGCCTGCCCCAAACCCACTCCCTCCCCCAACCTGGGGGCCTTGATCTGCCTCCCCCCACGCCCCTTTCCCCCAACAAACTTACTAGCCAGGTATTGTTCTCCAACTGCCTATCGGCAATCAGATTGGTGTCAGCCGATATGGCTGGTTAATAATCGGCCACCAGTATGAGCCCAAAAATCTTGATACACCCCTAGTTTATTTATAACATCTTGTTGGAAATGAGTTTATGAATGAGAGAGAACCAAAACTTCTTCAGAAAACAATATTTTGCTATGACAAGTCCACAAATCCTAATGCTCTAAGACATTACAAAATGCTGTACGGTGACTTATGTAAATCTGTATTTAAAATACTGAAAAACAGAGCCATGACAATCACTTTCGGCACCCAAGGAACAGGGTGGAGGGGAGGGGATTATGCTGACCACTGGAGATCAGGGGTGAGGGAATAGAGTCTTACCTCACAGGGCTCTCCTCTGGCAGCAGCTGTTTCTGTAGCAGCATGGGCTTGGGCTGCTGCTGCTGCTGCTGAGAAACAAGCACTGGTGCAAGCTCCCCTGGGGACCCTGCCAGTGCTCCATTCTCTCCCTCCATCAGGTTGTGCCTCCCATGGCAAAGTTTCACTGAGAGGAGCACCATTCCACACACCCCATCCCCCGTCCAGATGCACTGATGCATGCAGGGTCTGTGTCACTCACTCCAAAGGCCAGCCCCTGGGTGGAGCAAGCTCCTTTACAGAGTTAGATACTTGAACAACAGTAACCTCCACTCCAGCAAGTGTGGGATTAGAGACTGCATGTTTACAAGCTGAGCTTCCCAGACCAGAAGCCTGCTGAAGCCTACAATGCTCTTGTTTTTGCTAAGCAAAACAAGTGTGAATTGAACAAAAAAAGGAAATATCCTGCATGCACCTCAATCAGTAAGGAAAATGCAGATTTCTCATTTTGATGGAGAAACCCACAGATTTTATAGTTTTGCAAAGAGCTCTCTGCAGGCTAGTAGAGTTCCAGCCTGCAAGGAGCTGGGAGGGAGCAGGAAGAGAGCAGTCAGGCAGGGCATGCCAAGTGCATGTACGTGGCCACGAGGAAGCCTGGAGAGCAGCTCCCACAGGTATGTGGTGGGGGAGGGATTGAGGCCCCAAAATGGAGAGAGGGAGGGAGCTGGGCAGGGCTGAGGCATTGGGCTAGGGGCTGAGGCATTGGGCTAGGGGCCAGGAGCCACAGCAGGACCCTGGCAGGGAGTGAGACAGGGCCATGGGCAGCTGGTCCAGGGGGTGGGGGGCAGGTCCCCACCACTGTGCGCACAGCCAGGGGGACAGGGAGGGTCCGTCCCCCCAGTCTGTGCGTAAGACAGGCACAGGCTGCCTGCTGCAGGCTTTGGCTCTTCGCCTTGCTGCCCTCCCCAGCTCAGCAGATGCGACCCAGCACTGCAAGGCACAGCATGGCTGCACAGGGAAGCTTCTTGCTGCTATGAGCTCCACGCTGCCCTGGAGATGCATCTCCTGCCTGCAGGATTGTGCCCCACATTGCTGCTGCACAGGGCAGGGACACATCGCCAGGGCAGCATGGAGTTTACAGTGTCAAGGAGATCCTTGTGTAGCCCTGCTGTTCCCTGCAGCACTGAGTCACACTCACTGGGCTGTGAAGGACCCAGGGAAGGGCAGCAGGATGGGAGTCTGAGCCCTCAGTGGGCATCCTGCACCCACCCCCACTCCATGCACAGATCTGGGGGATACCGGAATCCCTGCTCTCCCCCCGGAGTGCATGCAGCGGCAGAGAGCCCCCCAGCTTTCCGTAAACCTGCAGTAGGCAGGCAGCAGTGGGAAAGCCGGGGTCCACTCTCCTGCAGCAGTTACTACCTCCTGCTGGGGGCAGGGGGTTGTGGACCCAGGTCCCTGGACCCATAGCCCTGGCAGCTGGGGGCCCTTATGGTAAGGCTGGGGGAGCAAGGGGTAGTGGGTGGGGGGTGAGGGC